CGTCATGTCACAACCTTCGCATTCTTCTTGAACCTCTTTATCTGTCAGCCACGTAGATGACAAGTGACTTAGAATTATGCTGTTATGTGCTTACCGAAAAGCTACTGATTGGTATCTTTCGTGGAATAAAGTTCGGTTTTTCAGATGCCTTTAATAGTCTCTCTGGTGACGCGAGAACGCTCCAGTCCATATGTTGAATAAACGGTCAACACGGTCTCTCTAGAGGTTGAAACTCTTTCCCACTCCTATATGTAATGACAACGAGGAGCGATGATTGGAGCCCACTTGAATCACGGAATGGAATAACTCGTATTGAGACGATTCGTCCAGCCATTAAGAAGATTAGGGGTCTATGGCCGTAGTTCAGTTGTCTTCAAAACTCCGAAAAGAATCCGCCATGAACTGGAAACCTATAATTGGGCCTTCACCAAAATGAAAACTTTTGGTTGAAGATAACAGCCTCTCGATAAAGAAGCTCTCAAAAAAACCTCCGTCAATGGCCAAAGTGAGGCATTATTTTGGCAATCGGAACAACTTTTGCCAAAATGAATAGTCTGGCACGGAGGAAAACACATGACTTGAGACATGTAGACTCAATCTGGCCTAATTGCTATGAATTCCAGATTTGTTGACCTCAGTGGTGGTTGAGGCCTGAATAATAAACGGGGAGAGCCAATAATGGTACGTTTTCATTGTGAATCTAGGATTCGACTAATTGCCACACACAAGGGAGAAGCCAAAAACAATTGTTAGCCAATTTCTATCACAGTACTACAAAAGCTAACAACTTCTAAATGGACAGAGGTAACGCAGTTCAAGTGTCCCATAATCAGCTTACTCCAGTTCTAGAGCAAGCGAAAACTAATGGCGTGAATTTTGAGTGAAATTATATGATAACCTCTTTTAGAACAATTAAAATTTTGTAACTACCAACCGCTTTGCGTTTCTTGACGTTTTTGTAACTTGTGTTAACTTATAAACAATTAGGAACTGCAAATTATAAAAAAAAACATTTACGGTTTGAAAAAATACCTCTAAGGAAACTCCATATGTAAACCATTACTCAAACAATTAAATTACGTACCTAGGGAAAAGAGGAGACTTCTTGGAACCTTCCATATGTACATTAGTGGAACTGACTCGGAGAGAAGTTACTTTAGAGTTCGGCCGAGTTGGGCTAAGCTTTTTCCTTACAAAAATTAATGATTATTTTAACGACCAGCAAGAAATAACAGCTTTCCTCAAGGTTAGAAATTTGGGAGGTGGGTTTGACTTCAGGCGTTTTGAGCCAACGTAATGAAATTAATGGGGTAGGAGTTGAAAGATAAAATGTACTAATCCCTTTTCAAGTGAAAGTTTTTCATACTGCGTTGTGACAACCACTGGGGACTACGTACAAACAAAAGAAATGGATTTCAGGTCAACACCCACTTTGTGGGTAAGCAATAGGTAAGTAAGAAGTGTGTAGCGGATTTCTACGCTAGTAAAGCCTGGCTTAAGTCTCAGAAACCTTTGTGATAGATTCTCCCAATTACCGAGTCTATAGAAGAAGAGACGTATCACCGATACGTTTATTCACTAGATACAGAACGTGAAATGTAAACACACAGGGAGCTTAAACATGATCAGGATGGCGGATTAGGTTAAACAAACAGAGGTTAATGATTGGTCACTGTTTGCACGGTCAAACAGAGGTTAATGATTGGTCACTGTTTGTACGGGCGCATAATGATTGGTCACTGTTTGCACGGTCGCACCTCCCAATCCTGGCGTGCAAGCATGCGATGACGTGTCCCAAAAGTCAATAATATATAAGGAAAAGTGCAAATGTTACCTACGTGGTCAATAATTTTCATAAGGGGTGCGCGACTGACTTACCTCCACGTGGTGCACCCAGGACAACGTATACTTATACGGCAAAAAAGTCTATAATCCAGCATCTGACTTCAAATTATTATGATTAGCTCGAGAGGAAGCTATAAGAGAAATTGACCTTGTCAGGGCGAATCACAACTTTACAGATCCTTCAGTGGAATGCTAGAGGGATGTCACAGGACATGAAGATCCAAATCCAGAAAGTCCTACAAACTTACGATATAGACATATTCACAATCATGGAGGCCAACCTTACAGATGACAAACTTCAATGCTACCAATTCCAATATTACACCTGATATCTCTAACCTAAAGATCGGCAGGTTGCAAGTGGAATTCTGACTGGAGTAAACGAAGGCCTCACATCACATTACGATCTCTTCTACTCCAATTAAATGTTTGGAAATGCCAAAACCACCTCAAGATATACGCAGTCTATAATCCACTCCAGAAAAGTCCCAACTTTTATCTTCTGAACACCTCACACAAAACTGTAGTATTAGGAGACTTCAACGCCCTTTCCACCAGATGGGGCTACAAGGATACAAACGTAGCTGGAAAGCAAATCGAAGACATGCTTAACAGCAACCCTCTGGAACTTATTTACAGCAATGAGGATCCTGCTACAAATCTTCATTACAACGGAACCAGAACAACTCCTGACTTACTCCTGTCTTCAAGCGACATCAGCGAACATACGTTTCCTCTTGGCTTCAAGCGACATCAGTGAGCATACTCGCGACTTGCTCCTGGCTTCAAGCGACATCAGTGAGCATACACGCCGTATTTCCTCTTGGCTTCAAGCGACATCAGCGAGCATACACGCCGCACATTGACGATCCTGGTTCTGATCACAAACCAGTCATTGCTAAAATTAAAATCGAGTTCTGATCACAAACCAGTCATTGCTAAAATTAAAATCGACAGCAAAAGCATGACAACGAAAGTGCCAACTAAGCTATCATAGAACTTCAAGAAGGCCAACTGGTCTAGATTAACAAACCTTTTAAAGAATGAACTTCACACAAGTCCCATTAACTTCAACCAACATCCTGACAAGGTTCGAAACGAAATCACGAATATTATGATCAGATATGCAAAGAAATCTATTCCCAGTGGTAAGACTAAGCACTATAGTGTTCTGGTCGGCCAGTGGTAAGACTAAGCACTATAGTGTTCTGGTCGGAACACCTTGAGGAACTGAAAAGAAAGAGGGACGCCTTCGCAACACTGCTGAACAGACTGAAAGAACAGAAGACGTACAAGCCTGGAGACGACAGTCAGCTATCCTTCTTACAAGATAAACGGACTACCTTTGACAACTTCATCTCAGATATCAACTATCAAAGTGATAGCCAACGCACTTTTAAATTCCTGGGTAACCTCCAAAACAACAGAGAAAGACCCAAGACGCTTAAACAACAAACTTCTTACCACCGACTCCGAAATATCAACTTCTTTGCTAGGTTCTATTCCCACAAGCAAAAGAAAAAAATCTTATGTCAGAAAATCTTCAAGAGATATAAAAATACAAGACAGTTTGGTGAAATTAAAGAAGACACAACAATACCAAATAATGTACTTACTGAACCATTCAGACCTTGCGAACTTAATGCTGCGATAAAACAACTCAAGTGCATAAAAAATCCGGAATTTCGAATTAGAATGGGGCCAGAAGACGGCACTCATCCAGAATTTCTAATTAGAATGGGATGGTATTCATCCAGAATTTCTAATTAGAATGGGTCCAAAAGAATCCATCCGGAATTTCTAATTAGAATGGGACCAAAAGCCAAGTCCGGAATTTCTAATTAGAAAGGGACCAAAAGCCAAGGAAATGCTTTACAACAAAATCTGGGAGACCAGTCTTGTACCAAACCGAAAAATCTGGGAGACCAGTCTCGTACCTAACCAATGGAAAGTTGTCATAATAATACCAATACTGAAAAAGTGCAGACATAGCAACTTGACAACTATAGGCCCATCTAACTCACAAGCGTGCTGGCTAAACTTATGGAAAGAATGGTTAACAGGAGGCACACTGACTTTGACAACTATAGGCCCATCTAACTCACAAGCGTGCTGGCTAAACTTATGGAAAGAATGGTTAACAGGAGGCTGACCTAGTTCCTTGAAACCAACAATGATCTTAGATACGAAGAAGCAGGTTTTAGGCCACAAAGATCACCAAACCAACAAGTAGCCACTCTCTCCCAACATGTCAAAGATGCCCTTGATGCAAGAAATACTCTTACGGCTTTATACGTCGATTTCAAATCAGCATGACTTAGTTTGGAAAGAGAATCCAATTCTAAAATTGGTGAAGATTGGTATAAAGCATTAATTGGACAAAGATCATGTAAAGTCAGATATGGAAACAGGCCTTCCACAGGGAGCTATCACAAGCTGCATCCTTTTCAATGTCTTCATCAATGACATAGCCGAACTGATACAGACAGCCACGGTCAACAAGTGCTTTCTTTATGTAGATGATATTGTTCTATTGTATTCTGCCGATAAGAAAAACGCTCAGAAGCAAACTGGTACGACAACAATGGAATGGTTATCAACACCACGAAAATTGGGTTCCAAACATTTTATTTGGCCCGTCACAGCATAAATCTGTTTTTAAGGTTCAAGGATACTTACCTAGAAAAAACCACCAAGTTCACTTATCTCGGAATGACGCTTGACACAAAGCTAACATGGAAAAGTCACATTGCTAAAGTAGAACGAGTCTCCAATAGACTGAACGTACTGAAGCGTCTCGATGGCAGAATATGGGGCTGTGCACGCTCAACCTTAAAAACACAACTTACAAGATGTTTGTTAAACCAATAATGTTGTATTGCTGTGAGCCACTCATTACAGCCACGAAGATGACCCTCAAACCACTCGAAAAGGCCAAAGAGGTGACTCTCAAACCCCTCGAGAAGGCACACTACCAAGAATTACGACTAATTACTGGAGGGATTAAATCAACACCCATTGATGCAATGCCATGCTGGAGGGATAAAATCAACACCCATTGATGCAATGCTCCTGGTTGCAGGGAATACCACAATATGTTCCTTAACCAAAGAGAAGGCTTTGAACCTGTATGAGAAGCTACTGTACATTCCCATGGATAAATTCTTCATCACCCATGGGAATAGACGAAGACACCTGAAAACACAATCTGGTCTAATACAGAAAGCCATAGAACTGAAGAAAGAATTAAAAATCGATGACAGACCAAAAAGCCTCTCTCTCTCCCCCCATTAACCCATTAGCAGACACTGATGTAGTGTTGCACCCAACTTCTGGAAAGCAAACACCCCTCCAGAACAAATGCGCTCACTAGCCCTTGAGACAATCAATGCCAACTATCCTGCAGATCAATGGTTCCAAGTCCTCACTAATGGGTCTTGCATAGAAAACCAAGCAAACGGTGGTGCAGGTGTCTACTCTGAACTCCTCTCTTTCTACGCAGCAGCGGAACACAATGGATCCGCTTTCGAAGGAGAAATAAAGGCCATTAAGATAGCATTAAGATAGGCCAATTCACCAAAGCATTAATCTTTTCGGGCTCCCAGACAGCAATAAACTTAGTTGGAAACAGAGAGCCACCCAAAACAGCTGTATCAGCTGCTGAGAGAAAAAAACATAACAGTGATCCTACAATGAATTCCTGGCCACTGTGGCATTAAAGGCAGTGAATTTGCTGACGCACTTGCTATGAAAGGGACAACAATTTTGCAGGGCATAGACCATTGCTAAGAGGGGGACTACGATTTTGCAATGCATGGACCGTCCGATGTCTTTCCACACAATGAAGATCAAGGACACAATGGAGGCCTTAATCAGGAGAGAATTCCAGACCTCCTACCAACGAACTCAAAGCTCGAACAAAAGAGAAACAGTGGACAGTGGCACTCTCCGACATAGCCGACTAGCCAAGAATCAGAAACAGTGGACAGTGGCACTCTTCGATATAGCCAAAGGAGAAACAGTGGACAGTGGCACTCTCCGACATAGCAACGGTTTCTATTCTTGGCCAGTCGGCTGAGTTTAGACTACGTACCGGACACGACTGCCTGGCAAAGCACCTTCACAGATTCGATGTCCAGCAGTAAAGACAACGACGGAAAACCAGAAGACAGCTAATGGAATGCTATTAATTAACTGCTATATATGTCCCCACCCCGTGGGGAAAGCTGTAGTCAACTAAGGGGCTAATGATAAACATCCTAAAGCCTGTCATTTGAAATAATAATAATAATGATTTCAATAAATAAAAATATATAAAATCAAATTTAACACATAAAAACAGAAACAGACAGTGGGAATTCTTTAAAACTTCGACAAATATTTATATTGGTACATACATACAAGGAAGAACATTGGAAATTAAGGTAAAGATTGATCTTCAGTCGTAAGTTAAAATTGTGGGAGGAAATGAAAGAATACAGGTATAAAATCGATAAATAATATAAAATGATTAGCTTGTGATTGTAACTGTCTAGAAACGAATAAAACTACGTAAATATTATGGCAGACAATAAAAGAGTAAACCGAACTCAACATGGACATACCAATCATTGACTACTCTCCTAATTCGACATTGAGGCACTAAACAAGTATTTCAATAAAAATATGGAAGAATAATTCGAGCAAATAAACTAAGTTACTTGAAAGCATGCTCATTTAAAAGAGGTACCTCGGGGGAACTTCTATCAAGAATGCGTATTGGAAGGGGAAGATTTGTAAGAGAAAGGGTATTGGAGAGAAAGCATTTGCTAGAACACGACGAAGGTAGAGAAGAAGACGATGAGTCTGACATAGCATCAACGTTCCTTGGAATACGATCTGATAATTCTATCGGAGTTAAAACGACGCGGCAATTATTATTCGTGATTTTACAAAACAAAGCATTGCGAAAATTCTCGATTAAATGGCGCCGAAGTTTAAAATAAAGACCACCGGCAGCATCACGTTTTGGATTTAAAAATGGTTGATCGGCAATTCTCTTGGCACGACGTAAAAGTAATCTGCGACGATCCCTACATCTCTTTGTAAAATTCAGATCCGGTATATTTTTACAGTAGTTATTGCTAAGACCGACAGTGTTAAGGAAGATTAACTTTTTCTGTTCACTCAGGTAATCCGTCACCTCACTAGATGTAAACATAAAATATCGTAAATTACCTTTTATTTAATAAAACAGAGCAAGAACGAATGGAACATTTCGCATCAGAGGCAACCATTTCATATTTACCGCTCGATACTAGTTTAACAAAACAAATACACAAAATCATTAATTATGCATCATTTTCTTGATTTCTTAACTAGTTAATAAAATTCGAAAATTTGAGTTTCGTTGTTTGCTCTTGATAAGAACAAACGTGAATAGCAGTTCCTGTTAGTTTTGAAGTCTATACACTAAATAAGTTTAATAGCCATGATCTTTTCAATGTTTAAAATATATTATTGCTTTTAAAAACCTATGTTTATATATAATTGCTTACCGACCTAAGAACTTATCTTTTGAGTTTATCTTTTACATTTCATAATGATTTCTTAATTCATCCATTTAGAGCATATTTATCTTACTTATAAAGATTATCCCTAAGCTTTTTCTCAGCGTAATTTTATTTCACTAAATTATATCAAGATGCTATTTATTGTTCATATTTGTTTTGCTTTTATTCAGAATTCTAAATTTTTAAAATTGTGGCTCTGATTTACAAAACACTTGTAATGGAAGGCTTTATTATTTTAAAAACAAAAGATAAAGTTGCGATATAGTCGTTACTACCTTGTGGCGCGCAAATCATAATAGGGTCAAAACTGTGTATAACCCAATTGATCATTTATGCATTCAAATTCTCCTAATTTTGATCCCCATCCTGAGAATACGCATATTTCGATTCCCGAAGTTCCTCCTGAAGATGCATTTTCTTATTCTCTTGAAACTTTTGGCTCACATAACGAACCCATAGGCTACACATGTAATGCTGTCGGCAATTTTAAACAGAATGAATACCAAACGTACCGCATTATTGACCCTGATAGTTGTCAAGTTTTAAAAGAGATTGTTTATATACATTCTACTCCACAAGAGGCTCATTCAACTTGCGTGCCTAAAGAATCGTGGCTTACGGATAACCTTTATGGTATCTCGAACTCTCAGCAAGGTATTCAAAATGCCTCTACTGCTGAATACATTCCCACTCATGATTTTCATTGTTCTAATTGTGATGAAATATTTGGATGTGAATGCCAGCTTTATTTGCATAGACTTTTACATCATTCTCCTTTGTCGAAATTGGAAGTGCTCAAATGTGAAATATGCGGCAAAAAATGTTCCAGAGTTTCTGCGTTCAAAAGTCATCTTTCTCTTCATATTCTGCGTAATGATCAGACATGTCCCCGTTGTCAAGCTAAACTACCCAACTCATTCACGCAGGATGATGCCAATAACAAAGTGCTCCCCATTTCCCGTAATCAATACCGCTGCAAGTTGTGCGGAACTGTAAACTCTTCTCTTACTCAACTTCGAATTCATTATAAGCGAAACCATCCGAAAAGGGAGCCTTGTACCACTGGGACTCAGCAGCAAAATGAACAGAAGGAACCTTCTCATTCAGCATCCAACCGACGTATTTCGAAGGACAAGGCCTTCGACTTTATAAAGGAAATCGCTTCCTTGTCTAAGTATGAGAAGCACAAAACTTCTTCTTGTAATCTTATAAGCGATCTTGATTTATCTGAGTACGTCAGGAAGGTGGCTGTTACGAAAAAAAGGCATAGCTTTCTGTGCACATTGTGTGGTAAAAAGTTTCCATCTACTACACGCGCAAAATATCATGTTTTCTCGCATCTGGGTGTTAAGCCTTTTTGCTGTCCACATTGTTCTAAGAGGTTTACTCAAAAGAGTGCTATGGAGACTCACATGAAAATCCACGATGCGCCAAAGAGTTGCACTTGCCCATACTGTGAAAAATCCTTCAATTTTAAACAAAACCTTGACTTTCATGTTGCAAAATATCACACAGTTGTGTCCACTGTGGAAAGGCCTCTTCAAACAAAACGGGATCTTAGCACCATTAGATCATTTATCATTTCTTATAAGGATCTCTCAAAATCCCTCCTCTCAATGTTTAACCTCTTTCTCTCATTTTATCCTATTTTTACAGGCCGGCGATTGCCTTGCAGATACTGCTTCATGACATTTAGCAGTATCTCAGTTCGTGCCGATCACGAAGTAACAGTTCATTTCAAACGCTCCAGATATCCAAAACGGCCTCTACGAATCAGTGCAGTTTATAACCGCCACCGCGAAAAGTTTAATCATATTTCTAAGTTGCTATCTCCTTCACAATCCTTTTCTCATTGTCCATGGTGTTCACTTCCCATGACTTCTCCAGAACTCCATTTTGTTTCTCATTTTCTTGCCGATGCATTTATTTGTGGAAAGTGCGATCGACGTTTTGTTGTTGGTTTCCTCTGCCTTCTTCATTTACGAAAGAAACACCTTAAAGTGAAGTCGAATTTGCGTGTCCTTGTTCGATGTGATATACCCCCTAGTGTTCAACAACGAATAGGTTTAATGAAACGGACAAATGTTGAAGCTAATCTTATCACCAGTGGTCCAGCAACCACTTTTGACATTATTAATCTCCCTGAACAGCGGCAAGAAAGTACTTTTACCGAACAGGGAGGTCAAGAAATCGTTTGGTTAACTGAGCCACAGCCGGATATTTCTCAAAATGCTCCTCCTCTTAACTCTGTTGTTATCATTTCACCCGAGGTTGAACAAATTCCTGTTTCACAACAGCCTGTCGATCAGTCTTTTGTTTTGGATCAGGGTTTCCAATCCGGTGATATGTATCTTTATCCTCAGGATAATCTAGTTACCTATTATTCTGAGGACGTTGGTTATGTGGATAATGCCACTTCAGCTTTCGACGCGGATTATCAGCCCACTCTCGATTTCATTCCTTCAAGTTTGGATTTCAATCCAGAAAAAGTTACGATAGCCACCGATCTCCAGCTACCTTTTCAGAGTCTAGAGGGTGGTATGTCTGACTTTTTTGGTTGTTGTCAGTGTACTGCAAGATTCGATTGTAGTATTGCGTTGTCCAATCATGCAGCAACTCATCAAACACCTGCCCGTTATTACAGCGTCTGTTGCAATTGTGGTTGGTGCAGATTGGATTCAGGTGAGAGTGAACTATGTCAAGCTTGTGGACATGACACTTTCCAGCAAATGGAAGGTCTAGTGGAAGGTGGCAGTTTGGTTGGATTTGCCCGTTTCTATTGTACTCATTGTAATGTTCCCTTTACGGATTTGGTTCAGCTGGAATCTCACGTAGCTGAATTGTACACTTGTCAACCCCAATCCATTATTGAAGAGTTTGCTACTGTGGAAACTATCCAACCCCCTTCTCCACCGCGAAATCCACCTCCACAAACAAATCCTGTTAATGAAATCGTTTCCCATCGTCAACCAAATTTACCCAAAAAGCAACATTTTCAGTTATCTGAAGAGGAATTAGATAGAATCCTACAAACTCAACCTACTCCCGAGTGTAGTCTTTCAGAGCGATTGCTTTATGAAGTAAGTACATTTTGTATTTTTTCAAATTCATAATGATTTATCATTATTTTACGTGACTTACGACTTATTTAGGATTCGGATTTCTGATCTGGTGCGTTTATTGGGTAGCCTTTAATTTAGTTTCCTCTTTCTCTGCAATTCTGCTTATTTTTCGTAGTTTGGATCTCATGTATTTTTTGTAGGCAGCTTTTGAACGAAATTTTCGAAGTTATCCAACTGCTGATAAGCAGACAACGACCTCATCTTCATCATCAATGGATCGTCCGCACGTCTGCACAATATGTTCCTACCGTTTTCAACGCAGTTCTGATCTGCATCGCCATATGCTCCTGCACACTGGTGTTAGACCCTATGCTTGCAAGTTTTGTGACAAACGTTTCATTCTTCCCCGACGGTTACTGGCTCATGCTACTAATCACCATGGCAGTGAAGGTGCAGCATGGGCCACTGGTTTCCTCTCGGGTATACTCCCAATTTACTTAGATGAATCCCTAATGTGTGCATATTTCGGCGCTTTAGAAGTTGAGATTTGTAATTCACCATCGAGTGCTCAGTTTTTAAAGTTCTGGTCATTGGAATCTGTATCTAATTGAGTTGAGAGGCCTTGCATATATAGTTACAAAGGTATTAAAGAAACGCTTTCTTTTCGCTCTATTACCGGGGTTTTCCGAAAATCCGCCCAGGCCAGTTAAATGGAAAATTCCATTTCATGGGCTTATTTTTGGAATCAAACAACTGCACACCCAAATAAGCGTCTATGGGCGATAATACAGAAGTGAACAAAATATATGTATATAGTCAGATGTTCGAACTTTCGGAAATCCTTGGTATTCTCCTATTACTGAGCTTTATGCAATTTCGGTTGCTTATTCCTTACTTAAGCACTTGGTGGTATTTCAGATCGTAAATTGTCACGGTATTTTTGGTGATGTTCTGTTATTCTAAAATCATCTTCCTTTGGAAGACATCAGTTCAAAGGGTATAAAAGCAATCCATATTGCGCCTCTATATGAAGGAACATGGAAGACATGTATCCTGAGCGGTAATACTTTTTCCTGAACTTGAAAGGCAATCACGGTGATAATGTAGTTTTCTCACATTATTAAAACATTTCCGCGTTGATATTATTGCAAAAACATGCTGTACTTAACCCAGGAACTGTTATACCCGATTTATCGTTGTTCTATGTGTTCCCAGTTGTTCATGAATGTTTGCTCTTATTCCCCAATTTTTATTATGTGCTGACCGGCTTCCTCTTCTTGGTTTATTCATTTCTATTATCAACCTTGACTTCCCTTTAATAATTGTGGGATTGAACGAATAGCTAACAGCAAGAAGAAGGTAGCAATAATAGTTTCTCAAATCCGTCCCAAAATATCATAACAAAATGTATTATATATGGTTAGCATGCTTACCTATGGAATGGGGTGGCATTTAATGTAAATTAGGGCGGGGGGGGGGGGGGGGGGGGGGTTTACGGTCTATTTCCCCCCAAGTACGATTTTAATATGGACTTGAGGCTATTCTTGAACTTAATTTTTTTACTTAAGGACGACCGCGATCACGAAAAATGCTTTCAACGTCGGCTTCTCCAGGGTCTCTAAATTGTCACCTTTGTGGGACAAAATTAAGCAATGCGGCTTCCCTCCACGCTCACATGCGAATCCACACTGGAACAAAAACATACGCCTGTCCCTACTGCAATGAATGCTTTCGCACTCCAATTCAACGCAAGCGACATCTTAAAGTGTGCCAGAAATCACAGCAAACTGATCTAGATACAGTTACTGCCACAGAGACCTTCGATTTCACCCCATTCCTTCTCGATCTTCAGCAAACATCTCAGCCGTCAGCCTCTACAAGTGGACTCAAGGATCTACTTGCGATTGATCAACCCTCTCAGCAGAAGTATGTTCGTCTTGAACCCGAGCGCGGAACCTCTTCAAGTGGTTTTGTCAGTCTCTGGCAATGCCGAAACTGTCAGGAGACATTCAATTCTAATAAGGCCTTTACAAGCCATCAATGCGTTATTCTTCATCAATTCGATAGCGGAGGAGCTAGAGGAGGAACGGTTGAACGCTCTCCTTTCACTTGCTCTGTTTGCAAACATCAATTCACTAGGAGAAACGATCTGAAGAGACATGAGCAAACTCATGAGACCAATGATTTGCAGAGACGGCCATTTTGTTGTGGAGTCTGTGGGGCAAGATTTACGCAGAGTGGTAGTTTGAATATTCATCTTCAAGCTACTGGGCATGATGAGACTTCAATAGCTAGGCGACGATTCAGATGCCGATTGTGTAGAAGTTCATTCTTCTACCGATCTGGCTTGATTCGGCATTCAGCGATTGCTCATGGAGTGAGAAGTAATGAAGAAAACACAGGAGACTAGGATTGTATGCATACCTTATTTGAAATCTTTTCTCACTTTTACAATTTGTTTTTTACTAATAAATATAGATTATTTCAACTCGGAATAATCATCCTATTGAAATTTTGTAAGTAACGCGCTCTGTTTGTCATATAATAATGAACTTGGGAAACTTTCCATTGCTCGCACAATGTAAGAAAAGGGACTTTTTTTCGGAAAAGTGATGCATATTAATATATACATATATGTGTCTATCTTATATCTCCATACACTTATAAAACTAGTTGAAGAATCTAGATTTTACCAGCTGCAGATGACAGAATGGCTCTTGTATTCGTTTAAGTTCATTTACAATATAAATGAATTGTTCAAAGTTATTTCTGTTTTGTTGAGGGGATAACGAGAAACTAACTGGGGTACACCATATTGCTTAAAGGAATTGAAATGAAATTCACCTGAACTGTACTTGACTGGCCAAATTTCATGCATGCGGATAGTGCCCCGGCTAATTGGCTCTCGTCAATTGTAGGCAAAACCCAACCGTTATCAAACATTTCCCCACTTTCCTCGGCAAATATAAACTCTCGCGAATAAGTGCAATCAAAATTATCTTTTAAAGCCATTAACTTAATCATGGTTGTGTCTCTTGATCGCGTGCATGGTCTGTAGGATCAATCCTTGATGGTACAATGTGAATGATAGGAAGTTGGTAAAGTAGGATTAAAGTTGAGGAATTGCTGCTCAATTTTAGGTTTATTCATTCGACAAATTTACTCATAGTCACCTACCGCCCTTATCACTTGCGAACGCACATCTACACTATCTGCCAATTTGTCTCTGCTTTGTCAATTTGCATCTCAAAAGGATTTCTCCCATCGCGAGACTATCAAATAAAATAAATTTAAAATACTAATACTGGCTGATTCGTATTCAAAGTGACCTGAGTGACAAGTCTACTGTAACTGGTGCCTCCATTGCTAGACTACAACAGGTATTCGTCAACCATGATGAAGTAAAATTTATTCCATCAGAAATATCACACATTTGTCTTCTATTCTATTTGAGGACCTATGACCTGTACCACATATTTTCAAGGCTTTGGTTGTACTACTCGCTTACGGTATGAAAAGCAAGTTCTTGTGCTATGCGCAAGAAAAATGCAAAACAGTTCTTAATTCTATACAGCTTGGGTTAAAGGTGACGCTTTATAATATTCTTAAAATCCGTTTGCATCATCTCAAAACCCATTTTATCTGCGTACAGCCTCGACATCTAAAAAGGAAATGGATCAAATGGAAGTTTGGTTAAATGAGTTACATTTTTCGCCCTGAAATGGTGATACTCTAGATACCCAATGCTAAGTTTCAACGCTTTTACCTTTAAAAGCCTCCTTGAGATAGTAAATAAAATTAATATTTTTTTCCAAAAAATTTATTTATTTCAAATGGCAGGCGTTTTGATAGTTATCATTGGCCCTTTAGTTGACTTCAGGCTTCACAGAGGGGAAGGAACACCAAAGTGAAATATAGTCGAGAGGGGGGGGGGAACAGAAGAGTGTTTCAAAGAAGTAAAAGA